ACGAAAGTTGCTATTTTCAGTTAATAGTTCTAGGAACTATAGTCTCATTCTGGTGTAATAATTAAGTTATAAGGACTATTTTCATGTGATGGATAGCATTATTGTGTCTGCTGCAGCCATGATATAGCAACTTTTCATTTTCTATTTGTCTTCGTGCACAATTTAACTACAGAAGAGTCAAAGCTTAAATAGGAAAATGATCAAAACGAGCAAGATGCTAACGGTCTAATCCGATTCAATGATCTATGCTATGCTTAGCTAAAAGAGCTCTTGCCAGACCCGGAGATCAGCTGAATGGATTCAGTAATCATAAAAATCAACAGTTTAATTTATAAAATGAGCCTATTTTCAAGAAAAGAGGAGTGTTCCTTTCTACATTTGACGAAAACAAGCAGCACAGCAGACTCTGAACTTCAGCCAGTCTTTGTGTGTTTTGCAGCTAAATCATGATTACGTTATGTCCGCTGTTTTGTTTTAATCATCCTTGTTAGAAGCTGAATGTAAGCACGTGCAGCCAAGCGTTCAGAACGTTTTCTTCCCACAGCCTTTAAATGGCAAACATCCACCCCTTTTTCTCATTTCAATAGTGCTGGATTCTCTCAAGATCGCCAACAAGAACCTTTTTGTGTGTGTTCGGACCACCGTAGCTGAAATGAAGATACTCTTTTAAAAGATGTGCTTAATGCTAATTAAATGATGTGATCGTATAATTTCAGATTTTACTTTAAATCACAGTGCTCAGGTCAAGCCCTCAGTATAACCCGTAGATCCTTCATTTTCACTTCACATCATTGAAGCATCTAGCGCTCTGAGGCTTTTATTAAACGTTTTTTTTTTTCTCTTCTTCTTTTAATAATTTATGTGCGTTGGATTTTTACGGACAGGTTAACACTCCATCCGGGCTTTTGCTGTGGTGAAAAGCTGTACAGGCTGGTTTTAAACCCATTGACCTGCCTTGGTGCTCCACCAAACATAAGTCCTTAAGGGAGGAAACGGCTCACTTTGCTTTTCATGTTGCATTGGAGAACTGAGTCCGGTACTGAAATAGCAAAGCAGAAGCAGTTGCTTTCTAACAATGACCCCTTTTTCTCAACATTTTAGCATGTTTGTGCATTTTATACCTCTTGAGAGCCTTGCGTCAAAACAAAAATCATGCCTGGTGAAGCGTATACATATATATATATAAATATATATTTGTGTTTCATTTTTTGTCGTGTAGTAGTGGACACTACTTAAGCTAATCGTGACTAAACGCATCCTCATTACGTCATGGATCGTTCCTGCAATAAAAAAATAAAAAACGTTTATTTTTGCCACAATTGCACATACAATTGGAGCTCTACGTTTATCTAGGGAGATAGAAACTGCTTAAAGTGTCCTATAGCTGTAGGACTGCGAAGGCGATGTGTATACTGGTGACTTACAAAATCTATATATATTTATAGAAACAGAGTTATTGAAACTGTTGGCCGTCGGCACCTTAATTTTCCTTGAAAGATTCGAATTTTGTTCTCTTCTTTGCGTAGGGAAAAAAATCAAGCTGACGCCAGCGTATAACAAGACTGTAGGAGCGCTCTATTTATTCCTGTTCGTCTCTATATGGGAGTGTCTACTCCATAGGTCTGTGCTTTTTGTATGTGACCGAGGTCTTATGGGATTTTCTTCAGGTCTTTCTTTCTTTTTAAAACCTTCCACCCCAATTTCCGTTCGTTAACTTGAACATTGAGGATGAGTTCTTGCAAACGTGGCCTTTTAACCAGGTGTTGTTTTGAGCCAGCTGTTCTTTTATAAACGTCTTAGTCTTGCTTTTAGTTGACTTTCTGAAAGGAGGAGTTTCCCCGATTGCATTGTCGTCATTTCTCTTTCATCTCTTAGTATTTCGTGTGTAGGAGAACTCCGGATCTCAGATTTTAATCAAACCACCCCCAGACTTGCAAGGATTCTACCTCAAGCTGTTCAGACTACGTCGAGTAATACTAATGCAAAGCTAGAGTTGCGGAGTCGGCTCGTGTGCAATGAAGGAAGCAAAGCACTAGTCAGGACCTCCTGTGGTGATGCGTCTCCCAGAGCTTCTTGGGGGGGAAAAAAGTCAAATCTGTCTGTTCCTGTGTAGATTATTAAAAAATAAAAAATGTAAAAACAAAAAAACAGCAACAACATTGTGTTGATAAAGACTTCAGATTTAAAAAAAAATGTGTCTTTGCTACCTTGTACAAATGACCCCTGAGTTGTAAATAGTTGTATACATATTTCTAAACCTGTTTAATTTTTCTATGCACTTTTTTATTTATAATGTTTTGCTTAATAAAGATGTACAATGTTTGAACAAAGTTCAAGATTTATTTTTCTTATTTAGATGAACATTCAAAAAACATTGATTGTGCACAGTTATGAAGCTGGACAAATATCAAGACGTTAGCTCAATTTCCCAACACTCACCGGCCACTTTATTAGGTACTCCTTACTTCCACCGGGTTGGACCCCCTTTTGCCTTCAGAACTGCCTTAATCCTTCGTGGCATAGATTCAACAAGGTACTGGAAATATTCCTCAGAGATTTTGGTCCATATTGACATGATGGCATCACAGTTGCTGCAGATTTGTCGGCCGCACATCCATGATGTGAATCTCCTCTTCCACGACATCCCAAAGGTACTCTATTGGATTGAGATCTGGTGACTGTGGAGGCCATCTGTCTACAGTGAACTCATTGTCATGTTTAAGAAACCAGTCTGAGATGATTTACGCTTTATGACATGACGCATTATTCTGCTGAAAGTAGCCATCAGAAGATGGGTACACTGTGGTCATAAAGGGATGGACATGGTCCAACGTTTCTCCAATCTTCTATTGTCCAACTTTGGTGAGCCTGTGTGAATTGTAGCTTCAGTTTTCTGTTCTTAGCTGACAGGAGTAGCACCAGTGTGGTCTTCTGCTGCTGTAGCCCATCTGCCTCAAGGTTGGACGTGTTGTGTGTTCAGAGATGCTCTTCTGCAGACCTTGGCTGTAACGAGTGGTTATTTGAGTTACTGTTGCCTTTCTATCAGCTGGAACCAGTCTGGCCATTTTCCGCTGGCATCAACAAGGCATTTGCGCCTGCAGAACTGCCGCTCACTGAATATTTTCTCTTTTTCACACCATTCTCTGTAAAACCCTAGAGATGGTGGTGCGTGAAATTTCCAGTAGATCAGCAGTTTCCGAAATGACCAGCCTGCCTGGAACCAACAACCATGCCACGTTGAAAGTCACTTAAATCACCTTTCTTCCCCATTCTGATGCTCAGTTTGAACTGCAGCAGATCATCTAGACCGTGTCTACATGCCTAAATGCATTGAGCTGCTGCCATGTGATTGGCTGATTAGAAATTTGCATTAACAAGCATTTGGATAGTACCTTATAAAGTGGCCGGTGAGTGTATGTTGAGTGATATAAGAATATAAAATGAATATAAATAAGCAAATATAAAAGTTATAGAAATTATTAAAGAGTTCAGATGAATTGTTATGCGGTGTTAGTAATTATATACATGCAAAAGTAAATCTGTTAAGATGAACTTATAAAAAAACAACCGCCAGCAGCGTCTGGAAATTTATTGTGAGAGTAACGGCCTTCATATCAATTCCAGACTTGCACATGTGTTATCTATTAGGGTTTGCGTGCCTTTTTCGGTCAAAATTCTCTAGTAACCTTACCGTACTGGATTTAGTTTACCCATGAAGTGTGTGCTTTTAAAGAGAAATCAGCCAGGAAAGAAATTTAGCTGTTGGCAAGGCGCAGGTATTTTCGTGCTTCAGCAAAACATAAATGATTTTAAACAGAAACCTTCATTTAAAAAAAGTCACTTTTCTGGCATATATTTTTTTACTCATAATCCCAGTAACTGTTCACTTTTATTTAATTGACCACAAAGGACCACTGTTTCAGCTAAAAATAATTGTTTTTTTGTTTTTTGTTTTGTTTTGGGACTTGGAAAAAAACCAAACAATAAAAAATACATTTTACATCTGGTGTGCCCAAACCCCGTCCAGGAGGGCCGGTGTCCTGCACAGTTTAGCTCCAACTTCCTTCAACACACCAGTCTGGAAGTTTCTTTTATATCTAGAAAGAGCTTGATTAGCTGGTTCAGGTGTGTTTAAATGAGGTTGGAACTAAGATATGCAGGACACCGGCCCTCTAGGACCGAGTTTGGACACCCCTGCTTTTGATTTAACCAAGAATGAGCCAAGTGAAAGCATAATGTATTTGTTTTTTATTAAACTATTCCCCCCCAAAAAAACATCAGAATAGTGTTATAATCTTTTTGAAAGATGTAAAAAACACAGTGACTGCTAGCCAGTTTTGAATTAAGCATTACACAGCGGGGTTAGTTGTAACAGGGTGTTATAATTAAGCCACACACTGTTGGACGCCAATTAAACCAACAAAATAATTGTAGAATCTTGTGTGTAATGTTGAGAACTTTTTTAAATAAAAATAAAATACATTTTATTCATAGAAAAAAGATACTGTATTGATGATAATGCAAATAAATCCAAATGTGTTTATCCAACAGAGAAATACTGTAAATAATCATACTGTGCTATGTAGAATAGAAATAAAAATTGTGTTGAGTACTGAGGAAATATACTGTACTATTTAAAGAAAACTGAATTTAAATTGTGTGAAATCCGACTTTATAAGCACATCTTACAACTAACCCTCTGTCGGTTACAACTTGCCCCGCAGCTGGGGTTAATAATAAATGTTTTACTCCTGGCACTTTTGGCAATACTGCACAGAAACCATAGGTCTGGCTATCATAATTCCAGTGCTCATTTGTAGCAGAGTCTTGTGTGTTGTTGGTTTGTCTAACCCAGGGGTGGGCAAACTCTGTCCTGGAGGGCCGGTGTTCTGCATAGTTTAGCTCCAACTCTAATCAAACACACCTGAACATGCTAATCAGTGTCTTCAAGATCACTAGAAATCCATAAGCAGGTGTGTTTGATTAGAGTTGGAGCTAAACTGTGCAGGACACCGGCCCTCCAGGACAGAGTTTGCCCACCCCTGGTCTAACCCCATTACTTTGTTCATTATTTGACCAAAACCAAAAAGCGTTACTTTGTTCCCCGCTCTCCCCTATGCACATCTTGGCATTTCCATCAACTGACTTTTTCATGCGCATATCCATAATGCGCACAAAAATAGGTGGATGGAAATGTAGCTGATAATGATATTTGGTTTTTGGCCCTTCATACGAAAAAGTTCATTTCAATACTGACAATGTGATTGTGCAAACTCATATACATTCACAGAGCATATTTACAAACTAGTTGCATGTCAAACAATACGTACGTACAACATATAATACTGCTGTGTGTTTGTAATACCACGGTAACTATTCTTCTACGCCAACAGAAAGCTTTGCCAAAATCTCCACCGCATCGTTGCGTCCGATGGTGCTCAGCATCTCGGCCAGGTCTCCCACGGTCCAGTCTGGATTTTTGGTGACGGCACCCTCCAAAACGGCGACCAGGGGGCTTTTGTGGTCCTTCATGGAATATGCGTAATTGATCCAGGCGAAGGAAAAGGAGCACTGACTGGCAAGGTGACGTGTGTTTTTAACCCCAGCGATGTCTGGGTCTAAAACAAACACCAGCTCCTCAAGAACATCCAGATTGTTGAGCACTGTACTCAGAGGCGCATTCTGGACCCCAGGAGCTGTAAACAGAATTAAATGCAGGCATTTATGGAAAATCACTAACTTCCCTTTGGGAAAATTACTGTAAACTGAAAGGATTGGTGGAGAGTCACGTCCACTCATAGAAATAAAGGCTCTTTATTAGAATCTGTGAAGAAACCTTGGCAAGAGTTTCTATGAAGCATGTGTTTATATAACGTTAAGAGTGTTCAAAATGTATTATAATGCACAAGATTCTAATCTTGACATTTTTATTGTTAAGATCTGAAGAAGTTTGTATTACAAATTAGTGTTTTACTGCTGGTCATTTTAACATTTAAAAATCTATGCTCATAATAGAGTAATACTTTAGTACGGGGAGTCGGGGACAAATTCTCACAAGCCAATTACTTTATTAGTTTACATAGTGGCTGTTTATACTTATACTGTATAATACTTTTTTTTTTTTTAAGTTTATTTATATAGCACATTTCATACACAATGGCAATTCAAAGTGCTTTACATAAACAAGAATAAAAGAAACAAGTAAAATAAAAATAAAAACAAATAATAAAAATGCATAAAAACAAAACAAAACATAAAAACAGGTAAAATGTGATATAAAAGAATGAAGAAGAAGAGAAAAACATAATAGTGCAATCTGTCGGACGCAGCACAGTGCTCATTCAGTAAAGGCACAGCTGAACAGATGTGTTTTCAGTCTTGATTTAAATGAGCCTAATGTTGGAGCACATCTGATCATTTCTGGAAGCTGATTCCAGCAGTGAGGAGCATAGTGGCTGAAAGCCGATTCACCCTGCCTTGACTGAACTCTTGGAACTTCTAGTTTATATGATCCTAAAGATCTGAGTGATCTGTTAGCTTTGTATTGAGTGAGCATATCTGTAATGTATTTAGGTCCTAGGCCATTTAGTGATTTATAGACCAGTAATAATACTTTAAAATCTATTCTGAATGTAACTGGGAGCCAGTGTAAAGACCTGAGGACAGGTGTGATGTGCTCTGATTTTCTGGTTCTGGTCAGAATTCTGGCTGCAGCGTTCTGGATGAGCTGCAACTGTCTGACTGTCTTTTTAGGAAGACCAGTGAGGAGTCCATTACAGTAATCCACCCTGCTGCTGATAAAAGCATGAACAAGTTTCTCTAAATCTTCACTAGAAACAAAGCATCTGATTCTTGCTATGTTTTTGAGATGATAGTATGCTGATTTACTGACTGCTTTGACATGACTGCTGAAACTCAGTTCTGACTCCAGTCACACCAAGATTCTTGACCTTATTTTTTGTCGTTTGACCTTTAGTGCCAAGGTACGCATTTACCTTGAGAACCTCATCTTTGTTTCCAAACACAATCATTTCAGTTTTCTCTTTGTTTAACTGAAGAAAGTTTTGGCACATCCAATTGCTCATTTCATCAATGCATTGGCAGAGGGTGTCAATGGGGCTGTAGGCATTAGGCAGTAAGGCTAGGTAGATCTGAGTGTCATCAGCATAGCTGTGGTAGGAGATTTGGTTCTTTCTCATTATTTGGCTCAGAGGGAGCATGTAAAGGTTGAACAGGAAAGGTGCCAGAATCGAGCCTTGTGGGACTCCACACGTCATGGGTGTCCACCTCGACCTATGGTCACCTATACTGACATGGTAACCTCTACCTTCAAGGTAAGATCTAAACCATTTGAGGACCGTGCCAGATAGCCCAACCCAGTTTTCCAGCCTATCCAGAAGTATGCTGTGATCGACAGTGTCAAATGCAGCACTGAGATCCAACAATACCAGCACTGTTATTTTACCTGAATCTGTATTTAGGCGTATATCATTGATTATCTTTATAAGAGCGCTCTCTGTACTGTGATGTGCTCTGAAACCAGATTGAAAATTGTCTAAACAACCCCTGAAGTTTAAGAACTTGTTAACCTGGTTAAAAACAAGTTTTTCAATGATTTTGCCAATGAAAGGGAGATTTGAGATTGGCCTGTAATTGCTCAATAGGGTGTTATCCAGGTTGCTCTTCTTCAAGAGGGGTTTAACAACTGCAGTTCTAAGTGAGGTTGGAAAAATCCCTGATAGAAGTGAAGCATTTACCACTTTTAGAAGATCCACTTCTAAACAAGTAAACACCGTTTTGAAGAATGATGTGGGGAGCGTGTCAAGACTGCAGGTTGATGTTTTCATAACTTGCACAATCTCTTCTAAGATTTTGCCGTTAATTGCCACATTATGTCTGATTTCTTAAGTTGTGGTTGAGCTTGTTTGATATCGACAAAACTTGGCTGATTGGATGAGCTGATTGCCTTTCTGATATTATTAATCTTATCAGTGAAGAAATGAGCAAACTCATTAAATTTGCTTTCAGAGAGGAGCTCACTTGGAATCCGACTGGGGGGGTTTGTGAGTCTCTCTATCGTTGCAAAGAGTGTACGAGCATTATTTAAGTTGCTGTTTATAAGGCTTGAAAAGAAAGTCTGTCTAGCACTGTTTAGTTCCATATTAAAGGCATGAAGACTGTCTTTATAGATATTATAATGGACTACTAGTTTCGTCTTTCTCCACATACGCTCAGCTTTTCTGCACTGTCTTTTCATCATTTGTACTCTCGGTGATCTTGTCCAAGATCCCTTTTGCCTGCCAGTCATCTTCGTGACTTTAACAGGAGCGATGTCATTTATGACATTCTCAATTTTAGAATTGAACAAATCAAGTAGAGAATCAACAGAATCTGCAGATATACTTGGTGCTAGCGATATGGCCTTCATAAACTGCTCACTAGTGTTCTCATTTATGCATCTCGTTCTGACAGAGACAGATCTGTCTTTAATAGCTGGAGTGATCAATATATCAAAGAAGATACAGAAATGATCAGATAGTGCCACATCCTTAACAACAGTCGATGAAATGTGTAAACCCTTAGTTATAAGTAGATCAAGAGTGTGTCCACGATTGTGTGTGGGTCCTTGAACATGCTGAGTCAGATCAAAAGTGTTAAAAACAGTCATCAGTTCTTTTACAGCATTGATTTCTGGATTATCAATGTGAATATTAAAATCCCCAGCAATACTAAAATAATCAAATTCAGAGGTTACTATTGATAACAGCTCTGTAAAATCCTCAATAAAAGCTGGAGAATATTTTGGAGGTCTATAGATAATGATCAGTAAGATGCGTGGAGCACCTTTTAGTGCTATACTCAGATATTCAACGGACAAATAGTCACCAAATGACACTTGTTTACATTCATACACATCTTTAAACAGGGCAGCGATGCCCCCACCTCTCCTATTAACTCTGCAAACACTCAAAAAGTCAAAGTTTAAAGGAGCTGCTTCATTCAGAACTGCTGCGCTGCAACTGTCATCTAGCCAAGTTTCATTTAAAAGCATAAAATCAAGACAATTTGTGTTGATAAAATCATTGACTAAAAGAGACTTATTGTTGAGTGATCTGATGTTTAAAAGCGCTAACTTAACAGTTTTAGCTGTTTTTTCTATAGTAGTCTCAGATCTACATTTAATAGACACCAGATTTGAATGATTTGCTAGACGGCCTGATGAAGTCTTTGGTTTTCTGTTACTTAACACAACACATATCTGCTCAGAGAAAGCTACAGACACACTGGGTTCCTGCTTGTTCTGAAAACATTTGATAAAGACACTGTTATCTAAGCAGGTCCCCGACACACATCACAGAGAGCTCTTGTGTTCACCAGCTGAAGATGGGGCGTTGTTGTTTGGGCCCTGGCGGTGTGATCGGAGGGCTCTTCCAGGTGGGCTCATAGGTGGTTGTGGAGCAGGCCGCTTTTTGGTTGGTAACTGGGGGCTTGCGGCAATGGAGTGTGAAAGTTTAGTTCCAGCATACACCAGTTCCTCCATCTCTTTTGAAAATCCCAAGAGTGGTGAACATTGTGACAATGAGAACGTGTCCGGTGACAGAGGCTGTGCATCTGGAGATTCTGTCTGCAGAAATATGTTTTCCTGAGGATCATTTTTGAGTGACGAGACTTGATGCTGTTCTGATGCGTCACAGTCTGCCTGTGTTGAGCAGAGGGCAACTGATAGTGTCTCTATCAACATTGGGTGTTTTGGCTGCGTGGCATTACCACTGTCCTTGGGTGATTCGCCAGCCACAAGTCCACTCAGGAGCTGATTTGAGGTCCTGTGGTCATCCGGACATTTGCTAGGTGTGTGTGTACAATTCAGTTCAGTGGCATACACAGCTGATGGATGATTGAGGGAGAAAAAAATATTGTCCTTTAGCACCTTTGCACCAAGCTTGTTTGGATAAAGGCCGTCTGATGTAAACAGCTGTCTTTGGTTTCAGAAGAGATTGAAGTTGTCGATGAAATTCAGTCCTTTCTTGTTACATGTTTTCTGTAGCCATGCATTTAGACCAAGAAGCCGTGAAAACATATTTGTCCCTCTTGCAGGGAGTGGTCCACTTATGAACGGCTGAACCTTCAATCTTTCAACTGTTTCCAAGAGCTCACAGAAATCTTTCTTGAGCAGTTCTGACTGTTCCTTCCGAATATCATTCTTCCCCACATGGATGATAATCCGTTTTGCAGTACTGTGCTTTTTCAGAATTTCTTCAAGTTCTTTGTTTACATCAGAAACTGTTGCATGAGGAAAGCAGTATGTCATTGTAGATCTGCTCCTGAAATTCTTGATTATTGAATCTCCTACGACTAGTGTTCTTATCTCCGGTGTGATCGGAGCAGAATGCCGCTGTCTAGTCGGCCTTGAGCCTCTGTTCCATGCTGAATTAGTTGCTGAATCATGCGATCTCTGTCTGACTGCATTTGGGGATTCTTCACCCATATTACTCAAAACTTCATATCTGTTCTGAAGCTGTATTTGAGTCCGAGCTGTATTTGGGGTAGAAGACGCTAATGCGGCAGCGTATGATCTGACCCCACGAGTACCCTTTGGTCTCGCACCTTGTTTATGCCAATGCTCATTTTCAACAGTTCTTTTCTGTTTTTCTGTGCTCAAAACAGTAGCAGGAACAGATTTTTGGGACTCACCGGCTGTGTGCTGAGAGAATCCACAATGAAGCTGAAGTTCTGGTCGGATCGCAAGCAACTTCGTTTCAAGAACTGCAATCTTTTGTGGCAGTTTGTGGCAGTTTGTACAGCAGTGAGAATCTGAATTAATCCGATCCAGAGGCATTTTCACAGCCGTGTCTTCCCGTCTCCGGAATGTAAGCAGCTGATAGCTGGTAGCGGGAGGATTGTTTAGACGGTAATTCCCCTCTTGTTAGTAAAGCTATATTCCAGAAAGTTTGTAGAATCGATGCTGGTCTTCAAGCCGTGTTGTTTGAGCACTGTGCTGATAGGCTCAAGTTAAAATTAGGGTATAAGATATAAAAGCAAGAGTGCGAAGAGTGGAGCAGTGGGCAAAGACGTCCGAACAGTAGCAAAGCAGGAAGTAGACTAATACATGACCATTAGTCTATGTTCTTCTACATTCCATTACCTAAAGTTAAAATTTTCTGTCATCACTTACTGAACCTCCACTTCTTCCAGACATTTTTGAGTCTGTTTTTCCTGTTGAACACAGAATAAGATATTTTGAAGAATGCTGGAAACTGGTAACCATTGACTTCCATAGTAGTTCTTTCCTCTACCATGAATGTCAATGGCCCCTTTCACACATACAGACCTTTCCGGAAAATTGCCGGCAATTTTCTGGAAAGGTGTGTATGTGTAAACAGGCCCTTTTAGAAAATACCGGTAAATTCGTTCTGGATATTTTCCAGAAAGAGAAGTAACATTACCAGTAATTTGCCGGAATGCTGCTCTGTGTGAAAGCAGAAGGACTATTCCTTCAGGAAGAACGCAGAAGGAAGTGCTGATGTGAGACGTTTACTTTAGCCAATCAGAACAATTCCTTAACGTCCTCGCCTGTGTGAACAGCGCTTTTTTTTTTTAATCTACCGGTAAAGTCGTTACGGACATTTTCCAGATATTTACCGGTATCACTGTGTGAAAGGGGCTAATGGCTCTCGGTTTCCAACATTCCTCAAAACATCTTCTTTTGTGTTCAACAGTGCAAAGAATTTAATAAAGATTTAGAACTACTTGAGGGAGGGTAAATGGTGAGCAAGATTTCATCTTTTGGATTGAATGCCATGGCAGTACTAGCTTTTTGTTTTATTTTATGTTTATTGTGAACACTCAATTGAGTACAATCATACAACATTTCAAGGTACATTTGAATCTCAATATGTGACCTTAAGTGATATACAATTTACGTACATTACTGTCAAGTGTACTAACTATACATATTACTCAAATTTTGTCTTATCCTAAAAATAAGTAAGGCTACATATATAAAGAATTATATTACATTATAATGTTTTAAAAATGCTCGTTTAACTCTTGTCAGGATTATTTATTACTATTATGCCTGCATTTTAATACATTTAGTAATACCCCTGTGAACCACTATATATTCATGGAATTTCATGCATACTGAATCTTGTGCTACATGCACTTGAGTGCGAGCGTTTCAGGCTGTGATTCGCTTACTGTAATGGCCACCAGTGTCGCTAATAATGGGTTTCCACATTCTACATATACCTCCTTTAAAGGGCACCTTTTATGCCCCACTTTACAAGATGTAAAATAGGTCTCTGAAGTTCCTAGCATGTGTATGTAAAGCTCAAAATACCTCACAAATAATGTTTTATAACTCTTTGAAACTGCCCCTTTTAGAGTTTTGATCCTAATTGTGCCGTTTTGGTGACTGTCGCTTTAAATTCAAATGAGATCTTTTCAAAAGAAGGCGGAGCTACAAATACCTGTGTGTCAGAATAGTGGCAAATTCAAAAACAAGACTGACGTCCTATGCTATTGAGTGAGAGATCGTCACTAGTGGGCGGGGCTTTCCCTCTACTGATGACACGTACAGAGGGAGAATGTCAATCAAAGTGTTTCTGCAGACTGTTTTTATCAAGTGTGATTATAAAAAAATAAAATAATACATTTGTATCATTATAAGCTGGTTATATTCACAGACTGCTGCCACACAACTGTGTTTAAACCCCTAATAGAAGTGACTTTTGCATAACAGGTCCGCTTTAATATCAACATGAGTTTCTTTTTTGTCCATTTATTACAATTTTCAATGTAAAGACTGACAGGATGTTCGAAAGCTTACTTTTAAAAGGATCAAATTCAAGAGTCAAATTCAACTTTTTTTTTGTTGGCATAGTACTCACCTAACAGATGCGAGGGTCCAGTCGTTTGATCCTTTTTACTGGTTTCTTTGATTACGTTGTATGCGACGTTCTGTTGAAATCTTTCTAAGCCCTTTTTAGTCAGGCTTTCCCGAACTGCTCCATTGCAACATTTTTGAAATTCTGTTGAACAACAGAGAAGTTCCACGTTACTCCCTATTTAATAATCATGTTGAATCTTGCTTCACTCTTAACAATGATGAAGTTTTCAACCCAAATTTGGGTAGAGTTGGGTTTGTTTACATTTTTAACCCAAATTTGAGTTAAAAACAAACATGTTTGCTTTACCATATTCATATAGTAGCACTCAAGACTTCAATGTAGCAATTACAATAATGTGATACAAAAAACTGTTTACACTAAACTATTAAAAAATGCTGCATTCGAAACAAACAATTTGTGTTGGGTCAACATGGAGTTAAGTGAACTTGCAAGTTTTTACTAATTTTAATAGATTGAACATAAGTTGTCCCCCCAAAAATCAAGAATTGTGTTGCTTCAGCTCATTTTAACTAGGTAGTCTGAACAAATGTCATATTTGAGTGTAAAATTGAGGATTATAAAGATAACTATAACCAAGGCTTAATTTGTGCCGGAACACGCCGAAAGCATCGTCAATGCACCGTGATTCACAGAGGTATCGAATTTAAATAAATTGATAGCATGATAATCATAACTTAATTCGTAAACGAACCGAACTGTGAGACCAGTGTAGGTTCACACCTCAATAGTCCGGATCCGACACCTCTGAAATCTGATCCGGCACCTCATTTTACCGATCCCCCTCCTTCCCCGTCTGCTGTTCACTTTTACTTTCTACCGCTACTCCCCAACTCGCTTCACTTTCCCCTTCGCCATCCAATGCCCCGCCATCCCCTTCTTGCACTTCACTTTCATTCGCAACCAACCCCGCCCCAACCCCCCCTCTCCACTGCTATAAATGATTGGTGCTTTTTAAAGAAGGGTGGATTCTGATTGGCTAATTTGGTATCTGTGTTTCCATCCACCTATTTTTTATGTACATTTTGGATATGCGCATAAAAAACAGTTGATGGAGACCAAGATGTGTAAAAGTTTTGAAAATGCGTGTAAAAAATGTATGCGCATGGCTAAGCAGGGTAAAGATTTTACTCTAAAAGATAGATGCGCGTAAACTATCATAGAAACTTTTTTACAGAACAAATTCCAGTATGCACGTTACAAAAGTAATTTTTGTTATAAGAGATCATCTGTTAATGAAAATGTGTGTGAATGGAAAAACCAGCAGGCTGAGCACACTGTTAAAACATCTGAAATGTTGTTTTGGTCATTCTAAAATGCACTAACTATCTCAGTAATAATGTTATCATATTATTAATGACCTCCAGAATCAAGAATCTGTGCTTCGTGTCTCACGCGATCAAACTCCACCACGCATTCATTGCATGTCAGGATTTCTCTTTGAGGCGCAAGTCATTTATTAAATAAAGATTCACAGCTTCTGCTGTAAATTCGTTTTTTACTTTTGATTAGTGCCAGTTAATCAGGAAGTGACGATTTTGTTTGCTTTGACTCGTTGGATAAAAACGCTGCTTTATTCGCACGTCTTTTATGAGATATGTCAGTTTGCGCATGAATTTAATTAGCAATTTTGCATGGAAACATAGCTAAAGAACGGTGGCCGGGAAGTGCAAAACAACATCACAAAGTGTGAAACACTTTTACAAAGCTCGAGACAGACACCGGAAGTGGCGCAGCATGTACCACACACCAGAAGTGACGAGTGAAAGGTGTCGTTGGTGGTGAGCGTGGTAAATTTGTGTTGTGGAGTAAGTGAAGTTTATGGGGATCGAACAAACTGAGGTTGAGAGATGTTTTGCCCATGAATTTACCGCGTTAACCACTAACGACAACAACACCTTTCACTCGTCACTTCCAGTGTGTGGTACTGTACATTCCCATTCCGTAAGGAATGTCATTGTAAATTTGTTTTGGGGCTTGTGGGAGTGTTTTGCGTCTTGTAAAATTTTTTTCTAAAATGTAAATTAGTTTCAGCCGTGGTAAAATCGTTATTCCAATGTAATTGTGTCTCATGATAAGTAAAAAGGTTTTCAAAAATGTAAATTTGTCTTGAGCTTTGTAAAAGTGTTTCACAATGTTGTTTTGCATTTCCCGGCCACCGTACTAATGTCTTCTGAGGTGTAAGTAATTTATTAAATGAAGAAAAGATTCACACTGCTTCTTCTACTACTTCCTGATTAACTGGCGCCAATTATCAGAAGTGACGATTTTGTTGTCTTCGACTCGTCGAATGGAAACGATGCTTTATTCACACGTCTTTTATGCGATATACAGTTTTCTGCATAAATTAAATTTGCATTATTGGATGGAAACATAGCTGGTGCTTTAATCATTCATTCACTTGGCAAAATGGTTTGGGCATTGTTCATCGTTGCATAGACGTGTGTTATAGACGTGTGTGTTCTTTGAAGATGTGTAACTGAAAGCCACAACAGCCACCAAAAAAGTCTCCAAAAATCTCACATCATATTGAGTTTCCTGAACACTTGCCCATCTTACATTTATCCAAATAAACTGTCCAGGCTAAAAAAACAAAGCAGCTTTGACTGAGCCAATGATTTTTTTAGCTCAATTCTCTGAAGAGTCTGTTCATAAATATCCTGTTTCCATTTGTCTGTTGGCCAGAACTCAACTTTGAGAGATTTTAAGTCTAGTCTACCCCTAGTCTACACGACTCCATAAATCATTCTTTATTATCATTTAACTTATGCATTACAGCATGCAAACTGTAGTCATGAGGCAATGAGATGAAATTCATAGTGTGGCTTATTTTGTCAGGCATTCCCTGAAACAAAGATAAAACCTTTCAGGCTTTCTTCCAAATATTGTGCATGAATTGTTATTGTATGACTGACCTCCATTGAAATGGTTCCTTTTCCTCCTCTTGATGACGAAGAACAGACATACCAGCGACAGAGCAGATAAAATCCCCAAGAAAACATAGATACCTGAAAAGACGACCAAGAAGACCTAAACAAACTTGCATCTGCTGTAGTTTAACAAAGACGCCAACACACATTTTTCCTCTGAGTGTGTAGAAATATGAAGACATTATGATAGGCAGATACAGTTTAAGTTAACACAAAGCACTGAAGAAAATGGAGGATTTATGATATTTGCACAATTCACTTTTAATTTTAAAATGATTTCAAATGCAAAAAATTACTAAAAATAAGGTTAAAAATGTAGTTAATGGTGCTCTTTTGAACTTTCTATTAATTTAATCATACATTAAACAAAGGAGTTTGCATAAAAATATTAACACTGATATATTAATAAGAATGTTTCTTTATCTGAGAAACATTCATTTATTCATTTTCTTTCGGCTTAGTATCTATTGAGCCGATTTGAATGTCGAATCACTCGATTGAATGGGTGTTATATATATATATATATTTATATATATGTATATATATATGTATTTATATATATATGTGTGTATATATATATATATATATATATATATATATATATATGTGTATATATATATATATATGTATATATATATATATATGTATATATATATGTGTATATATATATATATATATGTATATATATATATTTATATATATGTATATATATATATGTATATATATGTATATATATATGTGTATATATATATATATATATATATATATATATATATATATATATATATGTATATATATGTATATGTGTGTATATATATATATATATATATATATATATAAAACTCCACACACAAACGCCAAATGACCCAGCCGGCACTTGAATTAGCGACCTTCTTGCTGTTCACTTGAGCCACCGTGCCACCCTTACTGAGATACAGTGATGATGAAAACTGGGAAATTATGTTGTACCATGACAAAAATGCTATTGCATAATAGATTTAAATGGAAAGCATTACTTTTTCACTGTGTTTATAATCAAATAAATTCAGAAGAGACTCTTAAATACATTTTTTAATAGAATGAAAAGTTTTTTAAACAGTGGTGTGCTATAGTAAATACTGTCAGAGATTAAAAAACAGAAATACAAACAACACCTGTCAAATTTGGAGTATCCACGAGAGGTGATTTTGAAGGCAAACTCTGAGTTGAACTTGGAGAGGGATCAGAGTTGGCAACAGAGGCAGTACTGGAGAGAGTTGTACTCCAAATCTGAAAGAAATGGTAAAAATAGCATCTATATTTGTACTAAAATGCAAATAAATTTTGTTTATTTTTTATATTTAATGTCTTAAAGGGCACCTAGTTTACACCTTTTTCCAGTTTTAAAATTAGTCTTTTGCGTCTCCAGAATGTGCTTGTAAAGTTTCAGCTCAAAACACCCATCAGGTTATTTATTGGACCTTTCAGAAATTTGTAAATTTTATCTCTGACCATCTTTTAGCTGTGGACTGTGCCTTTAATGACAGTCCTCCCGGACATACAGTAGGCGGATAAAGAAAATTTGCCCGGTTTTAAACCCCCCACAAGTCTTCACTTATAAACAGGTTATGATCTCCCCCGACCACGGTTCTTTAATTATAACTACACAAAGTTCTGTCCAAACAGCTTACAAAAGAGGATTTTCATCATGGGTGCCCTTTAAGATCAAAGATCACTCGTTTGGAATTTAGTTTAGCAATCTTTATTACTGTTTTTTCTGTTGTCGGCAATAGTTTAGGGACGCATGTTCCATTTAAAGCTTGCTCCCTGCAAAAAAAAGGAAAAAAGAGATGAGGAACATTTCCTATAATATCAATAAACAACAAGATCAATAAACAAGAGATCATCATGCAAACAAGATCAGAAGCTCCCTTTTATATACTGTAATACATGTGTGTTTTGTAACATAATGATCCTCAGTTCTTCTGGATTTGCTGGATTTATTCATTATGATTTGAAGTGAAATGTTCATCTTTCTTTATTCTAAAAAAAGGCAGATCATTTCTTCAAAGTTTCTTTTTTTTCTTCAGATAAGGACAATAGATATAACAAATATTTTATTATGGTGTTATTGTGAGACAGGGTCTTCCACTACTTTAATTCTTCTGAATTTATTGTATAATAGCATTAATATCATGGTACTACCTAAAAAATGTATGCAACTATCTAAAACATGGCAAACTTTATTTATTTATTTATATATTTATATTTATTTTTTTTGTTAAATTAAATGTTCTAAACCAGGGGTGTCCAAACTCAGTCCTGGAGGGCTGGTGTCCTGCAGATTTTAGCTCTAATTTGCTTCAACACACCTGCAAGGATGTTTCTAGACTGCCTAGTACAGGGGTTTTCAAAGTGTGAGGCGCGCCTCCCCTGGGGGGCGTCAGAGCATGTCAGGGGAGGCGCGGGAAAAATATTATATAATAAAAATATAATTATTAAGTTTAATTATTATATGTATTTTTTATTATATTTAAACGTTTTAATTAAACAAAGCTAAAAAAATAATACGTCAAAAATAAGAAAACCTTTTTTTACCCAGAAGGCCATAGCTGTGAATTCGCTTCTGTTTGGCCTGCCAATACAGGTATATGCCTGCTAATTATGCCTGCTAATACAATGGATCGGTTTCTGAGACCCCCCGATTCAAAGCCTTCAAGTTCAGCGCTTAAACCCAAAAGACGACGATATGATGATCAGTATTTGAGTTTAGGATTTATGGGGACAGGACCAGCTGATGAACCACGACCTTTATGTGTGGTTTGTCAAGATATTTTGGCTAATGACAGCATGATACCCGCTAAACTTCGACTGTTTTGACTTGGATGAACAGTTCTTGGATCTGTTCTATTCATAACCATCATCCTAGTTTTAAAAACGTTATATTAAAATACTTGTTATTACTCTGTAAATAATTGCACTTTCATGCAAATGATGATAAAAGTGAGTTAACAGTCTGACATCTGTCTGTGTCTTTATATATACTGTATATATATATATATATATATATATATATATATATATATATATATATATATATATATATATATATATATATATATATATATATATATGTGTGTGTGTGTGTGTGTGTGTGTGTGTGTGCATGTTTGGGAGGAGGGGGGGGCCAATGGATAAGTTGTGTCAAAAGGGAGGCCCACTGTCTTAGACTTTGAAAACCCCTGGCCTAGTAAGAGCTTGATTAGCTAGGCCAGCTGTGTCTGATTAGAGTTGTAACTAAACTTTGCAGGACCGAGTCTGGACATCCCTGCTCTAAACCAGTGTTTCTCAACCACAATCCTGGAGGACCACCAACACTGCATTTAATGTCTCCTTTGTCTGTCACACCCATTACAGGTCTTTCGATCTCTGCTAATGAGCTGATGAGCCGAATCTAGGCATGGGACGATAACCGTTGTCAAGGTATACTGCAGTTTGGAAAAGTCAAGGTTTTAAAACCGTTAAACTTTCTGATATACCGTTACTAAGGTATGAGTATGATTTTTTAAATTTACATTTTTTGTTTTTAGGACAACAGTATCTCCAACAGAAAAGATCTCCAAAGATGCCGTTTTAGATTGTAAAAATATCTGTGTTTTTGAAACAAACCAAGACAGCAAAAGTCAATTATTCATTTGATTTATTTAGCCTGATATGTTTGCTGCTCCAAAATTTTAAAAATGTTTCTCAAATTAAAATGTATTGTGTTTAAAGCGGAAAAAGATTTTGTTTTCACCCAGACATTTAAAAAGAGAATATATTTGAGAGCAGTAATCACAATACCATGATACACTAAAAACAGTGATATTTATATCCAAGGTTATCATACAGTCAGAACATATACCGGCCCATGCCTTTCTGAATTAGGTGTTTGGTTAAGGAAGCATGTGCTGCGTTACAATTAGCATACTATCGGTCCTAAATAGTATCTGAAAAAAAATGTGTATGTCCCAAATCGTAGTATGTTGAAAAGAGTATGTCAAAGATTCCCGGATGGTTTACTACTTCCGGTCAAAATTTTAATTGTAGAATCATCCACACTCTAACCGCTGATATTGGCCACAATACATTGCGTGTTGAACGTGAATTTGATTAGAACTACAAACTACAAAAAGTGTGAATAAACTACAAACATGATGAACGTGCGAGACCGACTGTCAAGTAGAGGCTTCAGTGAAGATGTTTGAATGACCGTTAATTACTATATGGTCCACTGGAAAAGATTTCAATTGCATTTTCTTTGCTATATTTAATCCGCAACAACAATACTAAACTTATATAAAGACTTGTTTGAACATTTAACATCTGAATGCATAATTATCCAAAGACCTGAGGAGATTTCTCAGCATGAAAGACTCCAGAATGGGAGATTAACCTGCTGCTGCTTATCCATTTAAGGTAAGAAGTTTAATACCACAGAAATGTGGATGATGTGTGGATGACTGACAGGGCTCATAACTAAGCAACACAACGATCTGTTAACGAGAAAGTAGTAAGTCCTAAAGCTTACATACAGTACTCTTCTGTTACACACTCAAAAGTAAATATTTTTCCTTCACAAAAAAGTACATACTTTTAGGGTGTAGTAGAAGTGTGTAAATTGGGATGCAGCAATGGAAAATGTGCAGAGCTGGTGGTCCTCGAGGAACGTAGTTAAAAAACTCTACACGATTACTTTTTAAACTAGAAAGAGATGTCAACAGCTCAGATTTATACAAAAAAATTTAAATTTACTCAAACCACATAATTAGCCGATAAATGGAAATCTAGAGGAAATGAGAATTGTCAACTGGAGTTTTATGTACCTTCCTGGAAAAAACCCCCAACAGAAAGCATTAATGGTTTCCATTACACATGATTTATAGTGTGGTTTGAACCAAATTAAGATTTTGATCAGAAGGCAACAAATTACTGGTACAGCGCAACAGAGACCATTGCAGATTCCATTGTAATTAAAGTACTGTCATTCTATAATGGTTTATGTTGCCTTTTTTTCTTCAATTGGTTGCTGTGAGCAAAGTAGCCTACATAAAAACCTTTCATACAAACTTACTTTACATTTACAAAACGTATTTGTTCAATATTATATGTTGAACAAATTAGTACCGACAAGACTGCATTTTTTTTTTTTTTTTTGGTGCCACCTTAGAATAATGGTCTTTCTAGCCTGTAGCCAGCCTAATGAAAGGGGTGGTTCTTTTTTATCAAAAAGCAGACCTTTTTGCAGTTATTGGACTAATTTTCTATTTAATTTTGAAATTTAAATACTGCATTTAAGCAGGGGGTAAACAGATATGAATTTTTGAAGTTTTAAATTGAAAAACTGTGGTCTATTGTCATTTATTAGGCAAATAACAAACTGGCCAGCACATTCAGCTTTCCTTAGTCAGAATTTGACCATTTAAATAATAAAAAATAAACAAACATAATAATAAAGTAAAGCTTCACAGCTTTTCTAATAAAAAGAAAATGTAAATTTGAAAATGAACTGATGACAATAGCCTAATAACTATGAATATGGGTCGCTTTGCTGCTTTTTACAACTTTTTATTGGTCATTTTTTTTCTTTCAAGAATAAACTCCAAGATTTAGAATAAAAATTACTTTTACATTTTTTTCTCTATAACAACAATTCGGTGAAAGTTGACTTTTAATGTGTTATTTTAATAGCTTATTATGGCATAAGAAGTCAAAATGGCTATTCTTAAATGCCAGTTAGATTTTACTGACAGCCTAAATTTTGCCTTGTTTTAGCCAAGCTGTCTACATTTAAATGTCTATTAGATGTATTAAACACAAAATTGTTTGCTGGGTTAGGTTAACAACCCTGCTGAAAAATTCAGCTTAAACCAGCCTAGGATGGTTGGCTGGTTTTAGCTGGTCGACCAGCCTGGTTTTAGAGGGGTTTTGGCCACTCTCAGGCTGGTTTCCAGCCATTTCCAGCCTGGTTTTAGCTGGACAGGCTGGGAAATAACCAGCTAAAACCAGCTTGACCAGCTTAGCCAGGCTGGGAGCCCAGCCAAAACCAACTATGTCCAGCTTGAACCAGGATGGTCAAGTTGGTTTTAGATGGTTTTAGCTGGTCACTTTCCAGCCTGACTATAAGACCAGGCTGGAAATCGCTGGAGACCAGACTGAAAGTGGCCAAAACCCCTCTAAAACCAGGCTGGTCAACCAGCTAAAACCAGCCAACTATCCTAGGCTGGTTTAGACTAGATTTTTAAGCACGTTAGTTCACGTTAACTCACTGTGCATTAACTAATGTTAACAAGAACTACTTTAATAATGCATTAGTTCATGTTGAACTGTTGTATGATATACAAGATTATTCATACTTATTATACATTAACTAATGAATTATTCTAAAGTGTTACACTTTTTTCTTTTTATAACATGTGCAGTATCGTACCTTTGTCTGCAGCAGATAATATCAGAGGTGTTGTTGCACGCAGATGCAATAACCAGTGGATTTGGGCAAGATGAACGACATGTCTGGCATTTAACGTAAGATCCGTCGTTAAATGTTCCTTTACTGCATTGTTTGTAAGCAGTCTCGATATGATGTCCGTCGTCCGTCAATCCGCAGTTAGCAGAAAATTCATAACCTGCAGCCAGACCAGAAAGACGATGAGTAAAATGGGATTTCCATTGAAGAAGCGCCCTATGCGTATTAGGGGGTTTTCATATGTTTCTAAAGTAAAACGTTTAGATTACAATCCAGTAAATAAGTCAGGTAAGCCTTACTGAAAGGCGCGTCCACCGAGGACCAAAACAGCCTAACGTTATACCTATCAGTTTTGTCGTTAATGTCTAACACATGTTAGTTTGTATAGGCTACAAAGCATAATAAACAAAGCAAACCTATCAAAATAAAGCAAACTATGAATTTAAAGCCCACCTGCATGGATCCTAAATTTAGTATAACATGGAACACAAAGATTCTGATTTCTATCCCAGTGTTTCCCGTCTAAACACCTATCTGAAGTCATTGAGCCTGATGTGAATCTGCCTCTACACTGAACACTAAACTACGATCCTGCCAGTTTGAAGGGGTTTGGGGAGGAGTTTGATTGTAGCTAGCCTATATCTGAGGACATATATTTGTATAACTATTTTATAAAAAAATAGTTCATAAACATCGACATTAATGAAAATAACGTCGGCTATTTTTTATTTCTGTGCCTATTAGCTCCCCTTACCATTCAGAAACGCTGTAATACTGCTAATCAGTTTCATATAGCCAAGCAAGCATATAGCAATGTTCATGACATTGATCTGTCCTTTCTGGATCTGTTGAGACGATTAAGATAAGCTGATCATGATTAATTTTGATGTCTACAGTCGAGACATCCAGGATGTTCTCATTTCATAAAGACCAACTGCCCAGAGCTATTGCTTCAATTATAAAGTCTAAGGTAAGAGAAATTATTATCATTATTAGGGAGGGAATTTAAAATAGACTATAGATACAGTTAAAGTCAGAATTATTGGCCCCCCTGTTTATTTTTCCCCTCAATTTCTGTTTAACGGAGAGAAGATTTTTTTCAACACATTTCTAAAAATAATAGTTTTAATAGCTCATTTCTAATGACAGATTTTTTTATATATTTGCCATAATTCCCAGAATTCCACAACATGTTACTGTAATTTTTCGCAGTAAATTGCATTAGTGATTTAACTTGAATTTAACGTATTCAGAATTTCATTGTGAAATTAAGGCAGGCATCCTGATTACAGCAAATTACGGTAAAATGGCTATATATTTTGTATGTTAGTTATAGGAATTCAAACACTATTAATATTTTATTCAACATAGAATTTAATACACATTAACGTTTATGCTAGTGCAGGCACCTTTTTGATATTTAGACATATTTCTAGAATTATTGTTATTATGAAGTACCTCACAGTAATTTACTGTGAATTTACTTACAGTACTATACTGTAAAAGTAATGTATGCCAGTGATTTACTGTAAATTTAAGATAAAATATTTTACAGTGTTCATAATATTTTAATAAATATTATTCAGCTTAAATTGACATTTAAAGGCTTAACTAGGTTAATTAGGTTAACTAGGCAGGGTAGGGTAATTGGGCAAGTTATTGTATAATGATAGTTTGTTCTGAAGATAATCGAAAAAAATATACATAGCTTAAAGGGGTTAATAAATGTGACTAAACATGTTTTTTTTTTTATTATTAAAAGCTGCTTTTATTCTAGCCTAAATAAAACAAATAAGACTTTCTTCAGAAGAAAAAATATTATCAGACATACTGTGAAAATTTCCTTGCTCTGTTAAACATCATTTGGGAAATATTTTAAAAAGAAACTAAGAAAATAGGCGCTAATAATTCTGACTTCAACTGTATGTAATTGATGTATTTTACTTTGTGTTGAAAGCAACAACAATTGTCTGGTAAAACCTTGTCTGGCTTAATTCTTGTTCACCTTTTTAAAATCCAAAATGTGTTGTTCTCTCTGTTATAAATCTGACACTACAGTCATGGTTTAAAAAGAAAATCAAGACATATTTGCTGAGTCACTTCATGGAGCTAGTTGAGACACATTATACTGACTGGTTTAATCTGCAACGCTGGTCAGGATTGGTGATAAGAGCTCAAGGAATGTCACCGGGGCCAGTTTATTTCAGTTTTTTAGATTTTGAGTCAGCAATGTGTTTCTCAGAGATGAATTTATGAACATATCTGGAACAACGAAAACATTTTTATAGGGATATAGGAATTTAAATCGTTCTTGTGTTTAGAATTATACTCATTCAGATGATGCTTGTTATTAATAAATCCTGAATCCACACAAGTTGATTCGGCATTTAATGCATTTACACAGCAATTGCAATTGTAAAGTACACTTGCATTGGCCTTTATACTGGCTTTTATACAGAATTTTGAATGGGGACCAAGAAGCCTTTGTTGTATAAAGACCCCTAAATTAAAGGCTGCTCTGAGCTTGCTTGGAATTAATGAAAGTCTGAGTAAAAGTTTAACCAAATAATGCTCTGACCCACTTATCCTTATAAGGATTTGTTTGTAAATGCACTCTTGCCATATCTGAGAAGCGTTAAGCAGCAAGGACACAAGGGATAGTTCACCCCCCAAAAATGCAATCACTTATCCTTCATGGTATGTTAAATAGAAAAGAAGACATTATGAAGAAAGCTAGAAACCTGTAACCGTTTACTTTCATGGTTTTCCTACTATGGAAGTCAGTGGTTACAAGTTTTCAGCTTTCTTTAAAATATCCTCTTTGTTGTTCAACAGAAGAAAGAATGTCTTAAAGGTTTGGAACCACCTGAGGTTGAATAAATAGCACATTTTAATTTTTAAACTATTTCTTTAATGCCACTTCAACAGCGCTTTAATGCCACCTATGCTGTAGTTTCAATTGACTGGTCATCTTTCGCCTTTTAGCAACATTAAAAAAACAGCTTTATAACTCATAACCACGATCAAAATAAGCAATGAATCATAGACCTTTGTCACAGCTTTGTAGCAGGATAGAGTTTAATATAATCAAAATAACGTGTTTCCTGATGATTGCCGTGTCAGCAGATGAAGCTTAGAGCTGACTAGCTAACTGTACTTCCTTCACTTCCTGTGACAACTCATTTATTAACTTATAAATCATCCGACAAACACTTATTTGGAAGAACTTTTCTTTATTTCCTGTTATTTCCTCTCTAAGACATAAAGTTGACCAGTTTCTAGGAATAAATTGAGACAATGTTGACGTTTTGTTATGGTCAACCAGGATGTTACAATTGCAATTAAATGGTTAAAAACATTTTTACAGAACAATTTTTACACATAATCATTAATATTATTTAAAACTACAAATATATGTAAAAATGTGTTAATATACTGTACATTGTTATCAGTGTTTAAAACTACAGACAAACATGAAAATCACTTGTTAATTGTGTGTTAAACAATAAAATACATATACATCAACATTATCAGTATTTAAATTTACAAACATGCTCTCTAAAAATGTTGATTTATTTATTTAACCCAATGGTTGAGTTAAAAATATTGGGTGCTTTGTTGGGTAACTTTTTTAACCTTTATTGGATTATTTAGCAATAACTAAACCAGTTGCGTTAAATATTTGGTGCTTTTTTAACCTTTATTGGGTTATTTATTTAATAACTCAACCAGTTGGGTTAAAAATCTCAACAGTCAGCTGATTTAACTGACACAACAGCTGTATTATTATGCGTACGTAATGTTGTTTTTGCGTTATAAAGTTTATTTTAGCTCTATAGCGCAATAATGTTGTTGCTGTTTTGATCAAATTACCTCTCCGTGTCGTGTGTTTTATATCTGTTTCACCAGCACTCTTACAAACACAAGCTTCATAGCCAATCTATGTTAAAATGATATAAACACTTGTCTGGAACTTAAAATGTAATGGAACTAAAGCATTTTCAATATTTTTGAAAGCTGTATGTTACTTGTTTACACAGCCATGATTATAAAATGAATAATAGGACTAGTAATAGCAGCAATAGTAATACCAGAATGGAAAAAAATACATTTAATCAAAATAACCCAATGCATTAGGTTAAATTTTTATAACCCAATTCACTGGGTGTAAAAACCCATAGTTAGGAAGCTGCTATAGTAACCTATAGTTGGGTTATATGTTGGGGTATTTTTAACCCAAGTATTTTATTTGATTAATAATCTCTTGTCAAATGTGTGCAAAGTAATATACATCAACATTATCGGTGTATAAAACTACAAACACAATCTCTTGTCAAATGTGTGTTAAACAAACAATATCAGTATTTAAAACTACAGACAAACACATGACATTCTCTTGTAAAACTTGTGTAAAATACCTTCAACATTATCAGTGTTTAAATCTACAGACAAACATGAAAATCTCTTGTAAAATCTGTGTTAAACAATAAACAATATCAGTATTTAAAACTACAGACAAACATATGACAGTATCTTGTAAAATGTGTGTAAAATAACATACATCAACATTATCAGTGTTTAAATCTACAGACAAACATGATAATCTCTTGTAAAACTTGTGTAAAATATTATAAATCAACATTATCAGTGTTTAAATCTACAGACAAATATGACAATCTCTTGTAAAATCTGTGTAAAATAACATACATCAACATTATCAGTATTTAAATCTACAAACATCTGACAATCTCTTCCCTTTTGTTAAGGTTTTAGCAGTGCTACATTCAGAATTCCAATGAGAAAAAGTCTGGCCAGAAAGTCTGGGTCAACACAAGATGATGACAGGACCAGACCACCAACGACCAACAATCTGAAGCCCAAATCCAGCTTTGCTGTGCTGTACAAACCTGGAGATGCAATACACCACCAGACGTATACGCCCACGGTGGGTAGATTTTATCAATACACCCTCACATTGAAACTTCACCTATTCTGTCGTCATCATTTACTTACACCAAAATAAATCCTCTTTCATTTAGTCACTTCCATGTCATTACAAGTCTGTACAAATATTTGTGTCACTTCCTTTTCTTCATAGAAGGAAAAAGAAAGTTTTCTCTAGTGAACTTTTCAAAAAGAAAGTCACATCTGCTTGGAACAGAAACGATGACAGACGTTTCATTATTTGGGTGAACTATGAAGTCATTTCAAGTCTTCATTTGTGTTTTTCATAAAATATCCGTGTGACATATTCAAGTCAGGATGAAGAGTAATTTCAAATAAAAAAGCTTGTGCAATGAAAAGCAACATATAATGTAACTACAGCGCTTATAATAAACAGAACATCAGTTTATCTCCAGATCCATATTGTAAGTTCTGTGAACCACAGCGTCCAGATACCTTTTTACATATGATGTGGGAATGTCCGGAGGTACAAAAACTTTGGGATTCGGTGCTGGATATTTTATTTAAAGTTACAAAAATTTGTTTCCCCAAAGATCCTGTATTGTTACTATTGAATGATAACTCTCATCTTCCCTTAAATGCAAAGGTCCGTAAATTTTGGTTAGCTGCTTCAACTGCTACAAAGAAAATGTTGGT